TGACACTTTAGGATCAATTCTCAGTCCTAAAGTAATCCAATCTCAATCATATACCAAGATTTCCTATTAGTGTGCCCTAATCAAATTTCATGTTTCAATAATCAATTCCAAGGGTTTTCAATCTCAAACAAGGATTAAAGATGCTAATCCTTTTATCCGAAGTCCCCAAATGAAGCTAATTTGGGTTTTCCCCGAAAATAGGGGACATAACAACAATTTCAGGCCAAACAGGGTAAAACCCCGTGTACACCGGTCGACCGGTGACAGAGAAGTGCATCACCACCGGTCGGCCGGTGGTGTGCATCCGGTCGACCGGACCGGTCGGCCGGTGGCCATAGCAAGATCCGGTCGACCAATGCGGTCGACCGGGGGAGAACGCCAGTTCACAAAAACTCGCGGAAATCAGTTCAAAAACCTGCAAATCCAGTCCCAATTCGTAAAATCTCAAGGGACAACCACTAGATCCGGGTTCTAGGTACTAAAATAAGTCCAAAGAACCCAAGATCTCCAATTTCTACCCTAGTTTTACTCAAAATCCATCAAAATTCGTTTTGAACCAAAAATAAGTTTTGAAATCTGAAAAACATAGATTCAAGAGAGGTTCTTTCAGTAATCTTACCTCGAATCCTTCTCTTCACATTGAAAACTCTTTGAAATCACTCTTGGTTCGAATCCGGTTTTGATTTGAGACACAAATGGGAGAGAGAGAGGGAGAGGGAGCACAGAAGTATGAGAGAGAGAGAGAGAGAGAGAGAGAGAGAAACGTACGGGAAAGAAAAAGAAAAGGAAAGAAAATAAAGGAAAAAGAAAAAAAATAAAAGAAAAGAAAAATAAAAGAAAATGACGTGTAAAATATAATAGTCCAGAAATACGCCCATACACACTTCTGGATTAAATAAATTACTGTGAATAATTTAAATACCTTGGAATTATTTAAACTCAATTAATTAAATCAGATTAGGCACACTAATAATCTCAATTACCTTAATTAATCTCAATTAATTCTTCAGGGTGTTACAGCTCCACCCCCCTTAAGCAATTTCGTCCCCGAAATTAAAGCTCACCTCAAAGTGCAAACAGATGCGGATAACGTTCATGCATCATCGTTTCAAGCTCCCATGTTGCTTCCTCAACTCCATGGTGCTGCCATAACACTTTCACTAATGGGATCTCACGATGACGCAGATTCTTTATTTTTCGGTCAAGAATCTGAACTGGTGCCTCCTCGTATGACGCGTCATACTGTATCGGAACGTCAAACCACTGCACTACTGCTTCCGGCTCAGGTTGACATTTCTGAAGCATGGAGACATG